CATTCTTAGAGATAATAATTATTATTATCTAATAATTATCTTAGAGATAATAATAACAGTGATAATTCATATCTGTTTTCACAGTTCCTATAGTTGATAAAGTTTAAATGAAATAATTTTATAAACTACTTCATAAAACCCACCTCCTGTAACCTCGTAAATACACATGTATACACACACACTCATTGCTATTTAATGTGTCACAAAAATCCCATTACTGTGCCAATAAGCTCTGTGTGAAGAGGGCAGTAGCATAAATAAGCAAAGCACAAAATTGACTAGCATCTTTCTAGTAATCTGAGTAATTACTGACATAATCAAAGAAAAAAATAAGAATGTATGTTAAGAATAAACCTCAGGGGCCGGCCCGGTGGCGCACTCGGTTGAGTGCGGCGCTTGGGAGCATGGCGGTGCTCCCGCCAAGGGTTCGGATCCCATATAGAGACCGGTCCGCTCACTAGTTGAGCGCGGTGTGGGCACTACACCGAGGGTTGCGATCCTGTTGCCGGTCAAAAAAAAAAAAAAAAAGGAAAAAAAAAAAAAAAAAAGAATAAACCTCAGGAGCAGAGAATCTCCTCAATGGGCTTGTCAATACTACACTGCATAGCAAGTGCATATCTAATGGTGGCACAGGTGGCCAGCTGTCCACCCAAATGTGTCCTCTTCCCTCTGTAGCATAGAACCACAGCTGGGAAACACAAGCCCAGACCAGACCCATCCCCTGTCTTCACTTATGGTGGCCATGAGACCAGCTGTCACAAGTGCAAGGTGAACGGAATCACGACTGTCACTATCAAGCTACAGTATTCAGAACAAGAGGTATCTTCTCCTTCATCCCTGCCTACAGGCAGGCTACATTCAGATGATGAATCCAGCCAAGGACTCACCACAGTGAGAATCACCCACTAATTGAGAACACCCTGGAATCTTCCGTAGCAAGGAAGACACTTAGCATGTTCCAGCCACTGCATTTTTATCAGTCAGTCTGTTCCCACAGCCCAGCATCACCCTAACGAATATATCACCTGAAAGGCAGACTTTCAAAAACTGCAGAAGTTTGTGATCCTAAGGTGCATGGCAGTACTCCAGCCTTGCTCAATAAATGGCAAACAACTTATAAAACTTATAATGAACAACATCTAGGATAAAAAAAAAAAAAGAAAAAGAGGGAAGCTTCTTACATTTCTGAAGCAGAAGGGCGGGGCTTCTTCTGCCCCGTACTGCTTGTGATAATCCGCCCAGTCGAAGTCCTGGCCAGTGTAACCTGTGAATGACACAACACAGACAAAACTGCATTGATTAAGCCAGCCCCATCAAGGGTAAACTAGTGATTGAAAAAATAAGCGGTGTGAGTCTAGACCCCTGTAGGATGAAGCCCCCACAAAAACTAACAGCACTTCAGTTTTCACAAGGGTCAAATGAAACATTCAGGAAAACGTAAAGCACTAAATCTTGTAAGGAATCCCACCTTAGCACAGCGTGTTACCTGACACCAGGTGAAGAAGGGCAGGACCTGCCTACAGCAGTGCCCGAGGTAGCGAGATCTGCTACCAGGGAGATGGCTGAGACAGGATGTGACCCAAAACACGTTCTCGCAACCCATTCTGTACAACTAGACGATCACTCCCCCCTGGTGGAAACTCGGGGACTTAATTCTCGGTGTCATTGTGGAAACCGTAAGACTTTATTGGGGAAAAAACAGTATGGGAGGGGGAGTGATTTTTAAAGAGTTAACAGAAGACAGGGCCAAGGGCAAACGAGGAGCAGACGGTTTGGAGGAGAGCGGAGACCTTTGCTGGACCGACCTGCTGAGGATGAAGAACACTGAGCGGCGCAAGGATGGGCCTCCTGGTGGGATGCTCTGGGGGCAGTTTGGAGATACTGAGGGAAGAGTCTGAGAAACAACTTTCACACGCACTGAATCTAATTAAGTACAGATCCCACCAGTGGATTTTCTGTCTTTCTTACTTGGTCTTTTCTGCGGGGAGGGGTGGCACAATTATACGGGGCTAGGTGCTCCAAAACATTCACAGAAAGGTTTGTATCATCTTTTAATTCCATCTTTCCACGAACTTTTGGAAGGAAGCTCCTGCAGTATATATCCACCCTGACAACCACGGCAAGACACGGCAGCGGTGAGCGATGACAGTTCAGAATCATCGACAAGAAAGGCAGGACCGAGGTAGGAGAGCGCCCCTTGACATGAGCATCACCTACTCAAAGGGAGACCAGTGAACGGGCAGGCCACAGAAAAGGCCGATGTTTACAAGGGTGTGCTGGGAACCAGGGATGGCTGTGAAAATAGAGACCAGTTATAACCAACTGAAAATGTGTAAAATGTCACCCTTATCTTCACTTAGCATGCTATGTTCACTGGTTCAAGTGTATGTAAAATAAATCTGTAAGGAGTTTCTTAAGTACATTTGTGACCCAAGCCCCCCAATTTCTTTTCCCCATATTGTCATAAATTCTACAATCGCAAATTCACTTAACATGAGGACTGTTAGTTGCAGAGTGACTGAAGAAATTCTTCATTAAAGAAACTCAAGAAAGTACATTTGTGACCCAAGCCCCCCAATTTCTTTTCCCCATATTGTCATAAATTCTACAATTGCAAATTCACTTAACATGAGGACTGTTAGTTGCAGAGTGACTGAAGAAATTCTTCATTAAAGAAACTCAAGATACTGGTTGCTTCCTACCTCCATCTGTATTCCCAAGCACGAGATAGGTTTTATTTTCATTAAGTAAGCACAATTTACCGATTTTTATTTTTAGGATAAGAAGGGAAGGCAGTTAACCAAGAAAGCAGCTGTGCTCCTCTGGTCCCAGAGACTGACCTTTACCCCCCACTCCCTGCTGCCCGTCAGCGGCAGGGGGGCTCCCTTCTTTCTTAAGACATTTGTTTCATTCCATAAAGACTGACAACTCATGTCTTTCCCACAAGGCAATGAGAAGTCTCAGAGTTCTGAGGTGCTGTATACTCTTTCCAGCTAGTTTCGAAGAGATTCTTCAAGTACCCACCTGCCCTTCCTCCAAACCCTTCTCTCCAGAGCTGTCCCTCCAGCCAAATGGCTCTTGCCTTGGAGGTTTCTGCAAGGGACAAGACCTACTTTCCTCTAAACATTTTGAAACAAAACAAAACATGTTTTCAACGACTTAACATGAGATGAATTTCTTTACAATTAGCCTGACCCTCCCCTTTGAGAATAGTTTTTTTGGAAGTGTTTGGATCAAATCCTCTCATTAGTGTATGAAAACAGAAGAACTCCACAGGACACTTCAAACTGGTGATAAGTTTCCTAACAGGACACAGGGCACTGAACCAGAAAAGAGGACATCTGGATTTTTCACTCAGCTCTACCAGTAACTGGATGGAACAAGATTAAAAGTAAATTAAATCTTCTATGCCTGATTCTCCTCACCTACAAATTCACAAAATACAGAGCTTTGAAAGCTTTAAAGTCCTGTCTGGATGAGACATTCTATGATTCAGAGCCACCATCAGTCATTACTCTACTGTTGTTACTGAGGATTTTCTCCCTTCTGTCTGTGGTTAATTCCCTTCTCTTCTCCCAGGAGAATGGGAGATGGGGCTGGAGAAAGAGGCTTATGTAACAAGGTGCTTCTCCTGAAGACCTCGCACCTCAGCCCGTGAGGACAAGATAAATCTTTGCAATATGGGGTCCCATTTCTCTGGGTTGTAAATCATGATCCCCACTATTCCAATATCTCTTCCCTGGACCTCTGATATACTTTTTCAGTTAATTTTGTGAGATGAAGAAAACTTCATGAAATCCTGAGGGGATGGGTGAGCAGATTGGAAAGACTTACACGGATGAACAGCAAAGCACTTTCTGATATAGCATGGATTTGGGTGTTCTTTATGGTCAATATCCATTTAGACAAAATTTTCCAACACAGAAGTCACCCCTGTTCTCTACATACAGACACTTAGCTGGGCATTCTATAACCAACCTCAAATAGGCTTCACCCACTCCATGAAATGTCACGCTCCATGTTTCTTGGACCTACAATCCATCCCTCTGTATATCCAGTCCTCAATACTCTGACTATGGGGAACCAGTTTTAATCTCATCTCGATATAATCAAGTCTTGCTAGTATCTTCTAAGCAACAATTATTCCACCCCTAGAACACGCTCGTCTCCTTAAACACTCGAACTCCTCCTCCTCCTCTCTTGTGACCTTTATTCACTTCATCACTTAAAATTCTTTTCCTCCAGGCTGATGACGGGCTTTGCAAGGCAGTTTTGTGACAGTTCAGAAAATCACTGCGACATAAAAACAAACTGCTGTGGCTTGTATGATACAGACAACAGCGGTCAATTATACTCACTAATCAACAAAGACAGAACAAGAAGTACTAAGGCTTAACTGTAGCCAGGGAAACAGTTTTCAGAGTGGAGGCTGGGAGGAAGATAGCAGAGGGGAGAAGAAAATAAAAAGAAATAAAACCTCTTAGGCGATTGAAATATGCAACAAGCTGCCATGGAGACTGTCGAACCACAACCATTAGAGTTATTTATGCTTTTATTAGTGTTTATTCTGAACGAAGTTCCAACTAAGATCCAAAAGGGAAGAGGTTGCTGACCGATTTCCTTATGACACAAATTAATTGACATAAAACAACTCCACTTGCAAACACTACTATTGGCAGTGCAAATGGACAAATCTTTTGAAAAACTATTTGGCAAAAAAAATGTTCATGCCCTCTGACACAACACACTTGTGGAAACTTATCCCATTAAAACAACTCTAAAAACTGTAAAAGTGTCACACATTAAGACACCTGTGGCATTATGACTGATAATAAAGGGAGAAAAAAATGACAACAACTTTCCACCCAGGCATGAAAGTGCATAAAAATTTGTTAAAAACATATATATTCATGAAAAAAATTACTGCAATAGCTTTCGATGAAAACACTGCTGCAAACGTATATAGAATTACCAGATTTTTATAAAAATATGCAAAGAAAAAAGACCAGAGGAAATGTAAGAAAAACATAATAAATATCACAGTAATTGGCTAGGAAGACCCATCGCTACTTTTTTCTCTGACCTCTTTGTATTTTCCAAGCTTTCAAGAATGGTCATGAAATCACTTTAGTAAAGACTATTTGAAAACCTCGCATTTTTGCTCTGTTTAAAATCAAAACACTGGCCAGTCAATCAAGGGTCTGTGGAATAAACCAGGACTGCCTCCTCCAGTCCCTCCCACTTCAGGTTTGCTAACAGAATCTTGATTTTATCCAGTTACCCAGCCCCAGGAAGCGAACATGTGACTATCCTAAGACAATCACGGTGGCCACATGGCCTGTGCCTGTGACTTGGGGTGGAAGGAGGGGAAAGGTTTAAAAAAAAAAAAAATGATTCCTCTCTCTGGTAAAAGAGACCACAGGTATAAAAGCTCCTCTTCTTTGTTGGGTGGTATGGAAAAAAAAAAGTACAATCAGAATAAAAAATAAAAGTGGCAAAAGAATATCATGTTTGCCATCTACCTGTCAAAATGAAAAGCAATTGTGAGAATCCCCTGTTCTAAAGGCTGACAAGAAACCGGTACCTTACGCATTTCTGGTTGGAGTGTAACTTGATAAATGACTGCAGGTGTCCATTTGGTAAACGTGTGCCAACATGTTCAAAAGCGTGCCCACCCTCCAACCTAGCCATTCGTTCATTGATACACTCATTTATTCAGAAATACTGATCAACTGCATGCTGTGTGCAAGGTGTGGTTCTAATCCTGGGATACAAAAGTGAACAAAACACAAAATTCCTTATCTTCCCAGAGCTCACATCTCAGTGAGAGGAGACCGACAATGGTAAATATCAAAGGTCAGGTGATCACCACGCCACAGAGAACGTGGGGAAGGCACACAGGGGCGGCTGCACTCGCAGCAGAGTGGTCGGGGAGACCTCAATGGAAAGTGGCCATGGCAAAGGCCCCTGGAACAGAGGGGGCTGGGCACGCGGCTGCTGGAGAGGAGGGGCAATCAGCACAAGGGCCTGGCAGTGCGTGTAGAGTGTTCCAGACTGTGGGACTGGGCAGATGAGAACAAAGTGGAGAGTCTATTCTGGAAGAGGACAACTGTGAAACATTTTATGTACAAAAGTGAACTGAAAACCACTATTTACCTATGCATCATGGGGCTCCCCCAGTCATTTAAAGTGGTAGGTATTTTGGCATAACATATCATAAATAAGCGACAAAAGCAAGTTATGAAATAGTGTGTATAAAATAAT